TCAGGGTTCAGGGTTCAGGGTTCAGGGTTTAGGGTTTAGGGTTCAGGGTTCAGGGTTTAGGGTTCAGGGTTTAGGGTTTTACATAAAATTATTTTAAAAATTAAGTAAAAAATTAATAAGAATTTAAAAAATTTAATATAATAATTGTTTTCCGCATATATATTATTACTCCTTCTACTTTTACTATTTTTAAATAAAGTCAAATAATAAAAACTAAGAGTAAAATATTTTTAGATTGATCTTGATGATTATAAATATTAAAAAAAGATTAATTATTTACCTTAATAAGGATTGTAACATAAATTATCATAATAATCACATTAGTTTCTTAAGATAATAACAGTCTTGAATATTATTTTTAATAATTAAAATTAAATTTTCCTATAAAAATTAAATTATTTAAGGATAAAAATAATGATTACTATACTTAACACAGGTGTTACACATACTTCATTGTAGTTAATTACAGAAATTTTCTTACATAACTTGTTATAGGTTTTATAAAAATAATTAAGAGAATAATATTAATAATTCATGATTACAATTTTAAATGTAAAAATCATGGAGGTTATTAGTTGTGTTAAATAATGATAATGCTTTAATATTTTTTTCTATTTTAATCATTATTATTTAGTTCATTACACCGTATGTTAATATAATACTTATAATACATTACAAAATAATTTGTAGCATTAATCTTTCCATTTAAAATGAAACTAAACAACAATTAATATGATGTTTATCTAAATAAACTAAAGCAAAATAAAAAGGATAAGGTGAAAATAAATTTAAATGATATCATATATTGTATAAATGAAAATGAAATTAAGTGAAGTAACATTAAATAACAACTGTATAAAGCAATTTACTTCAAGTTTATATAAAAGCTTATTTTACATAAAATAAAAATATAACTTAGTTTTATACTTTGTAAAATAAAAAAAAAATTTATATATATAAAAAAGTATTTTTTATTTTGTTTTAGAAGAAGATAGAAAAATATATTCATAAATATTCCAAAAGTAAAAAGGAAATATTAAGGTAAATTCAATGATCAGCATATACAAGAAATTATAATATGAAGAAAATCTTATTATTATTATAAACAATATAATATTTCATTTCTATATATAGAAGTATATTATATATATTTAATAGTCTATATGAGATCAAATTACATAAACAATTTTTAATATTCATCTGTCTTCAGTCTATTGTAACTGTGAGAGGAAACACAATGATTTATTGCTTAAATTATTAATAATAAAACAAAGAAAAAAAAGATAGTATATATATAGTAATATATCATTACCAAATAATTATATCATTATTTTAGTAATTTAAAGAAATACTGTTACACTAAAATATCTTTTTCTTTGTATATAAATAGAAATTATAGAACAATATTAATTTCATATGTTTCTTGCTTATTTATGTAAGAATAGTAATAACAAAAATAGAAACTTTAAAATATTATTTTAAATTAAATTTTTAATATATATGTTTGTAATAAAAAAAGAGAAACTAAATTCATAAGTAATAAAGATATTTATGTAAAACAAATTTAAATAATTGAAAGCGCAATGAAATTATGATAGGTGCAGTAGTAGTAAAAGGAGAATATATTATATTTGAGGAAAATTTTGATATAAAAAAATATTAAATTCATGAAAATATTAGATAATATGATGTATCATAAAAAAAGAAAAATAAAATTCAAAGAAAAATATCACCAAAATAAGCATTAATATAAAATATAGTATTAATGTAGATGTTCAAGTAAAAATAATGTTAAAGTGAAAGCTAATAATAGAATTTTGGTAAAATTTTTGCAAATATGAAAATTAAAACAAAAAAATGTTTTAAGTTTATATTAATCTAAAAGACAATGATCAAGTTAATAGTTAATACCATAGTGAATGTTATATTAACCCAAAACTGAATATTTACACTAGAATAAAATTATTATAAAGAAAATAAATAAATCAAAGTTAGTAAGAATATTTAAACTTTATTAATCCATGTTTATATAAAAATAAAAAGAAGTTATATTACTACAAAGATGAAATCTATAATAATATTCAAATGAAAGGTAGTAATAATAGAGCACTGTTGAAGTAAAAATTATGTAAATGTAAATTAAAATATTGAATTAAGCAAAGTTAATATTAAAATGATACGAAAAATAACTTAAATATATTAATAATTTAAAAAATTTTATATATAAACATATTTAAAGAATTGTTAAAAACATATTGAAAACTTAAAAGATTTTAAATTAAATAAAGTTTCAGTTTTATAATTAAATTTTAAATTTTAATTAAAATAAAATTTTAATATTTTATATAATTATTAATTATATAAAACAACAAAAATTAAAAAAAAACTTTTAAATTCGAAAAGGCTAAAATATTTCACAAAATGTACACTAAAAGGATAAAATAAATGAAAAAACTATAAATGAAAAAAAAAAAAGTAAATAAAAAAATAAAGATATAATAAATTAACCATACGGAAATATATAATTATTTAATAGATAAAAAAAAAAAAGAATCTAAAGTAATATTTAAGCATTTTTTCATAACGTATGTATAAATTTACTTAAAAAAGAAACTATATTCGTATGACTATAATATTATAAGCCACATATATGTATATTTACAAAAATATCATTTAAATAATTCTTCCATTCATTAATTTAATAATTATTAAAATAACCATAATGAAAAAGCAAATTATGATATTGATGGCATTCATTCCAATGATTATCCTTATTGGTATATATATAATGCAAATGTCTTTGCATGTCTAAAAGAGAATTAAATATTATACTTCAATGTATGCTTCTCTTTTTATATAACAGAAATTAAAAATGAATCATTTAAAAAGAGATACTACATTTTATATGATTTCACTATTAATTCACATGACAAAAAAAGAAAAAAAACGAAAAACAAAAGTGAACTTATCTCTGAAACATAAAAAAAAAAATGCAACTATTTATTTATATATAAATAAATAAATCAGTAAAATGCCACATATTTTTTAAGCATGTTCTTTCTTTAATTTTATCATATTTGCGTATCTTCTTTATTATTTTTATATTTACACTTATATACTTGCATTTTATTACTTAGAATCTTTTTCTTTTTTTTTAAAGATTACACTAGTCTTTCTGGATTTTTTTCTGTATTTTTCTTCTGTTTCTTATTTAAATCATACTTTTTTCATCTTCTGTCATATTTTCCATTATATTTCTGCAGAAGCTTTAATATCCCTTTTTTCATTACTGAATTATTTTCATGAGATATTTCACCTTTTCTAAATTTACATAACCTTTTTTTTTACTGTCCTTTCCTCATCTTTCTTCACGATAATTTCCATTTGAGGCTTTCGAATTTTTTTACTAATTTTTTTCTTTTTTTTTTCCTTTTTTTCTTTAATGTACTTTTTCTTTTCTCTAATTCTTTCAGCTCTTTCCATGTAATCCAGTATTGAGATTTGAATATTTCTTCAAAATCATTGATCGTGCTTCTAAGTGTTTCATTATATGTGGAAATCAACATTTTCAATATTCCTTTTAATGGAGATGTATGTCTTTTATAGTAATAAATAATTTTTATATCCTTCTGCGTCACATCTTCTATTTTCTTGAAACTTTTCTGATCAATAAGCCATAGCAATTTAGCAAAATGTTCTAACATGCTTTCCGTCGATTTATAATCCTCTTGCTTCGCCAACTCCTTATCCTTTGCATTCTTCCACTGTTTCCAGGTTTCAATATCTTCTAGAATTTTCTCGTTAATTAAACTTTCTTTGCATCTCTTCTTCTTTACCCACAATGATAAGTTCAACATTTCTTGACTATCTCTTATTAATAATTCTTTGAACTTATTCTTCTTTTCCTTTATCCATTCAATATCCTCTTTAATCAAATTTGGCTTACCATTTAATTTATTATTATTATTATTATACACGAATGCATCCCATTCTTTTTTCTTATCTTCCCATATTTTATGATCATTTCTTATTATATTTATTAATTCCTTCCATTCTACTACCTTCATCTCTACTGATTTCTTCTTTTCATCCATTGTAGATTCATCTTTTTCAAAACATTCTGATAATGTTTTTTTTTTTTCTTCATAATCTTTCAAAGAGTCTTCTAAATGTTTTAATTCTTGTGGATTATTCATTATATATTTCTTCAGTTCCTCCCAGTTTTCTTCATCTTTATTTTCTTTAGACCATTCTTCCCATGTCTTGAATTGTCTCTTCACTAATTCCTCTAACATACTATCATCGCTTAATATATTTTTCAACTCCCCAAGCATTTCATCAGTTATTTTTTTCTGATCCTTCTTAATTGCTTCAAACAATTCTTTGTGCTTCAAAGATTCATCTCTTACATAAACCATTAATTTTTGGATATCGTTGTTTAGAATATTATTCCATTCCTCTTTTTCATTTTTCTTTTTCAATTCGTCCAAATTTTTTAAATTTTTATGAAACCATTCTTTCCATTTTTCATCATTTTTATTCAACCACAAAATTAATTCTTTCCATTTTTCTGATTTAATAATTTCGTCAAAACTATTAATTCCTCTCAATTCTATTATCTCATTTTTTAAGGAGTTCTCCCATCTATTTTTAATAGTAAGCCACTCTTCTAAATTATTCAATTCTTCCTTTAATCTATTTCCCGTTTCCTCTTCACATTTATTCAGCAAATTCATCAGATGTTTATTTTCCTTTATATCTTCTATCTTTTTATGTACAAGTTTAATATTATTGTCTATCTCTTGAGTCTTATTTATTACCCATTCTGTTTCACTTAAATATTTCCATTCCACTACACATTTTTTTGTCCAATCTGATTCATCCAGTGTGTTTATAGTGGACGTAGTTTCTAATAATAATTCTTTCAAATCACTCCAATCTTCTTCAATAATCTTGCTTTTTTCATTTTCCATATTCAAAAAAACTTCCCATTTTTCCCATGCCTCCAAAAGATCATTAGCTAAATTGATCCAAGATTTCCATAATTTATCATGGAATTCAAACAATTCTATTTTCTCTGTTTCATTCATATCTTCCCATATTATTTTTCCATCTAACCATTTATCCAAAATTGAATTTTCATTGCTTTCTTCCTGATCCAACTGTATATTTAAAATATCAACATTTTCCTCTTCTATTATCTTTTGCTTCTTTTCTTTATTCTTTTTTATTTTTTCTTCTTTTTTTGCTTTCTGCTCCTTTTTTTCTTTCCTTTCTAACATACATTTTTCTGTTTCCTCTTTTATCCTAGTTTTCATTGATTCCCACTCTTTATTTCCTTTATTAATTAACTCTGAAAAGTTTAGACTTTGAAAATAATTATTTTCCTTTATTCCCAATTCCTTTTTCACCTTCGCTTCCCTCGTTTCCCATTCCTTTTTTTTCCTTTCATAATGCTTATTATATTTATCAAAAAGTTTTTCCAATTTTATAAGTTCCACCGTATTGGCACTTTTTTTTATTATTTTATCCCACTCCTCTTTCATCTTGTCAATCCATTTTTTTTCTATAATTCTAATACCATTTTCTATATCTAACATCCAACTATAACCAATAATTCCCATGGAATCATTCATGTCTTTTGTCCATTCATCTATTGTACTTTGCATATGCTTTTTTTCCATTTTGTTCATACAAATTTCCATTACTTCAGTATATTTATCTATAGTTTTCAACCATTCGTTCATTTTTTCATTCCATATTCTTTTTATTTTTTCATTCCAATATATGAATAATCCTTCTTCTGCTAATTCTACATATTCTTTAAACGTGTCTTTTTTTCTTCTATCCCAATATCCGTATAATTTTTCTTCTTCTAATTCTATTTTTTGGATGGAATTAATCTTCTTTAATTCAATTTGATCCTTATATTCACGTAATTCTTTCTCTCTAAAGTAGATTATATTTTCTGTATCTCTTAAGTCACGTTCTTTTACCCCTTTAAGTCTCTTAAATTTATCCTCATTTTCTGTAGTATTCATAGGATTCTCATCTTTATGGTTTGTATTCCAAAACAAAAATCCAGATTCTTCTTTTTCAGTTGCACCAATATTATTTACATTCTGTTCATTTCCATCAATAAATATCTTTTCTTCTTCATTCTCTTCTTCATTCTCTTCTTCATTCTCTTCTTCATTCTCTTCTTCATTCTCCTCTTCATTCTCTTCTTCACTTTCTTCTTCATTCTCTTCTTCATTAGTAACATCTTGATATTTCACATATAACTTATTTTCAACGAAGTCGTCCATATTTTTTGTCCACTTATAAGACATGTGTTTAACCCAAAAATCTATATAATTTGTACGATATGTACTCATACATTCAATCCACTCATGATATATACTAATTACCCATTCTTTATCAAAGTTTTTCATCCATTCCTCTAACTTATCCATGTATTCTAGAAGTTTATCCACATAAATTCGTACATCATTTTCCCATTCTTTTATCTTTTCAATTCTTAAGCTATGAAACATGTTGAAATTATTTTCATCTTTTTCTACAATCGTTCTTATATCTTGTTCTTCACCACCTGTCTTTTTCATTTGGCATCTTAACTTTATTTCTTCTTGTAGGGTATTTATTTCATTTTCACAATAATTATGAGGGCACTGCAATATATAAAAAAAAATTATAAATTCAATAAATTCATTTTTTCTTAACATTATTTATGTCTTGGTTCATATAAATATTTTAAAAAAAATAAAAAAAAAACACGATAATAAATTTAAATATGAAAATTGTCTTACCTTGTTGGAACTCTGGCTTTCTTTTGATAACAGAAAATTATCTGTTCCTTTGTTTTCCTCAGCTAAAATTCTATAAACTCTTAATTTCAATTCCACACATTTATTATTCCTAGTCAACAAAGATAAACAAATAGAATCCTATAATATATATTAAAAGTTAAAATTATTAATTTTAATTAAGAAAAAAAAAAAAAAAAAAAAAAAAAAAAAATGAATATTCTTAAAAATAAATTTTATTTTTTTACATTAAAAGAAAGTTGACATGTATAAATTAGGGAAACAAAAACAACGATATTCTTAAATAAAGTGAATATGCTTATTTTTGTGAGACATGCTTTTAAAGATAATACAACTTCATTAATAAAATTATTAGCTGCACCGACATTAACATTAAATATTTTAGTATTTAAAATATTATTATATTCCATATTACAATGTAATATTTTTTAATATTAAAAATGACTTTTCTTTCTAAAAAGTCATTTTTTTTTTTTTTTTAACTATATGATACTGTATATATTTTTACTCAAGGATATTTACCCAATTATAAAGAAACATAAAAAAGTAGATATATTTTTAAAATTATTAAAAAATAAATAATAATTTAACAGATAAAATAATTTTTTCAAATTTAAAATATACACAAAAAAAAAAAAAAAAAAAAAAAAAAAAAAAATATATTTTAATATAATTAAAATTCGTTTCATTTATAAACATGAAACATATAATATTATAAATATAAAGCAATGAATACTGCTACTTATGTTTTTATTTTATAATTTTTTACTTAGAAATATTACGTATATATGTATATATATATATGTATATATATGTATATATATATATATTTATTTAAAAAATGAAAAATATATAAATGATCATTATTTAAAAAATGATGTTGTTTTGTTAAATTTCAATTTTTTTTTTGAAAAATTATATCTATAATACATAATTATTAAAAAAATATATATATATTTTTTTTTTCATAGAAGCATGCAATTAAATTTTTATAAATTATTTAATTGGATATAAAAAAATTTTGTATACCTAAAAAATTGATAATTTTAAAATTTTAGTATTATCTAGAAATTAAAGATCTGCTCTATAAAAAAAAAAATATAGCAAAAATACATATAGCATATTCCATTAATACATTTTTCTTATTAACTATTTTTGTATTATACAAATTTCCAATGTTTAATTTTTTTATTATATTAAAGTTATGTTAATTATTATTTTATTTTTTTTTTTTCATTACCTTAATAAAGTAATCGCTTTAAATTACTTCCAGAACGATCATAAATTATGTTTTTAAATTTATTTGATTTTATTATTAAGGAGGAAAAATTATTTGATTAATAAGTATTTTTTTTTTTTTAGTAGGGATTTATTGATAAAATTATTCAGAAAAATCAAATAAAAATAATGAATTTATGACAATTTTAATAAGCGTTAAATTTGAAACAGTAAGATAAAAATATAAATACTTTTTTTTTATCATTGTTGTGTACCAAAATAAGTACTAAAGAATAATACTCTAAAAAAAAATAGATAATTTTTTTTTCACATTTTAGATAACTTTTTCTTAAAATCTTTATAAAAACTATTATAAAATTTTTTTCTGCTATTTTACTTTTATTTCTTTAATAGTTTTAAAAAATTTATAGAAAATTTTACTCTTAAGAATAAGAACTATCTTTTTCTGTCTATTAATTTTAAATAAACATATTATAGCTATATGTAACTTTTTAGAAAATTCATGAATCTGATAGCCCTTAAAATGAAAAAAAAAAACAGAAATTACAATATATTATTTCCCTATGATATAAATTTTATTATTTTTCTTTTTTTACTTTTATAAAAATTTCTTTCAACTAAATAGTTTGTTTAATTTATAGTTATTATGTTTTTCATATATAGACAATATATGCAATTATTTAATTTGTGTTTAATTATATATTAAAAAAACACTCTTAGTTATTTTTTAAACTACTTTACACTGCATTATTGTCATACATTTTTACGTTTACTAGTTATCTTTTGTTTAACACATATTTATTTTTGTGAATTCAAAAAAAAAAAAAAAAATTAATATTTTATTATTATTTATTTTGTTTTTTTTTTTTTTCTGAGGAAATAAAATTTTATGTGCATTATAAAACTTCGTTCTTATAAATTAATATAATTTCTTTTTTCTTGTATTATATATTTAGTTTTTTTTATAAAATATTAATTTTAGTTATTAATATATTGTTAAAAAAAATTTTTTGTTCACGAATTCTATTTATTGCAAATTGGTATAATAAGTGGTATAACAGAGATACAAAAAAAATGCTACGGATATTAAATTTTATTAATTTCTTTTTATATTATTTTAAAATAATACAATTTTCTTAGTATTTATTTATATTTTTTATATTTTATAATAAAATTTAAAAAGTATTTTAATAATTTAAAAGGTTTTATACATTATTGAATTACGAAAACAATTATGTATGAAACATATGAATTATTTAAAATAAATTTTAAAAGGATCCAAAAAAAATTTTATTTATTAAAAAAATTATATTTTTTTTAATATAAAAAAAAGAAAAAATAATAATAATAACAATAATAATTAAGAACATTATAAAATGTATATTTTTAAAAATTTTTTGAAATTGCAAAAATATAAATTATTAAAATAATAATAAAAAAATAACACAATATCGATGATGTAACTTCTATGTAAATTTTTCCCATGATGTCAGTGCATGTTAATAGATATATTTTGATTAAGATTTATTAAAATAATGGTACATTAAAATTTTCTTTAAAGGACAAAGTTGACATAAAAATTGCGCACATGCAATATATGTTTTATAAACATAAGATAACTCATAATAGTTAAAATTAATAAAAAAAAATTATAAAATTAAAAGGAAAATTTTAGTGTTATAAAATTTAAATAAAAATAATTCATATATTTTAATAACTTTAAAAAGAAGTTAATTTTTAATAAATGTATGAAACAATATTGAATTATTACGCATGCAAATATTTTTTTTTTATCATTATGTTGAAAGTAGTAATGATAATAAAATAACATTTATGCAAGTATTAATAAATATGATAATCATTAGGCGTATATTCAGTAATATGATAAAACAATAATGATAATATTGCTAATGTCGAAATGTGTTCAAACATAAAGTTTATGTATTACTTAAAACACGTTTATAATGTTTCTTTTTTTTAAAAATGCAAGTGTACTTTTTATTTCACATAAATGTGAGAATCCATATGTATATTTTTTTATCTTTAGCAAGAAATAGCTCGGAAGTATGATTATCCAGAAAAAATTCTATCATCTAGTTTTTTATTCATAATATTTATATATATATTTATGTATATCTTTAATTTGTGAAAATGAATTAATTTTTTAATAAAATTATATTTTGGTTTTTTTAGTAAAATTGGAAATTATATCTTTTAAAAAATAGGTATATTATAGAAATGTCCATAAAAAATTATGAATTTCCTTATTAAATTAAGTAATATAAAAAAAAGTTTCGATGAAAATAGAAACATTTAAACGTGATAAATTTTCCTTTATTAGCAAAAAATGGAAAAGGTATATCATTATTATAACAATTTTTAAAACACTAAACGTATAAATTTAATTTAATTTCTAGATAAATATATAACATAAAGGAATTACAAGATGATCTTGTTTTTTATTAATGTGTAAATATTTTTATATAATGTAACAAATTTATAAAGTTCTAATGTAAAAAAAATTAATATTGAAGTTACGCTAATATATTACCTATAGCTAATTATATTGAAATGTTTATTATAGACTAAAACATTTCACTTGTAGGTAATTTATTTTTTTCTTTATAATTTATATCCTCCAAATACCAGAAAACACATAGATTTAAATATTTCTCTTTAGAGTGCAAAATTTTAAATATTCATATGTGATAGTATAAGACATTTTAATATTATTCATGATATTTTTTTTTTACATTTATTTCAGGATAGTTGGTATTAATTTTATTATGTAAATTTTTATTCCTATAAAGTATTTAAAAAAAAAAAATCCCCTAAATAATTCACAAATTATGAGAAATTCATTTATGGAATAATTAAACACACACAAAAAAAAAAAATAGTACTTATGTTTTTTATATATGAATTATATATTTCCAACATTGAGTAGTTTTAAAATTTATAATATTTCGAAATAATTTTATCAATAATTTATATATCTTCTAAGTGGATATTATAAGCATATTTTAATTCATTTATTTAAAAATGTTGATACTACATTAAAATTTATAATAATTTATAAATGTATTTTCTAAACAAGTATTTAAATTCATATATTTTACTTTGTTTATATAAAATTTATTGATAAAACAAAAAAATATAAAAAATAAAAAATAATATAAATTTATGAAGTTGCATATGTGAGTTCAAAAATTATTAAATTATAAAAAAAAAATTACAAATGAAATAAAGCGAAAATATATAAACATGACGGTGTTTATAATAAAAATATAAATTAAACTATTTTATATACTAGTGGTTAAGAATAGATATTAATATTTATGAAATAATAATTAAGAACTGCGTGGAAAATCCGAACTTAGCCATGCACAGTTGTTAGGAGGGGAAAAAAAACTGTTAGTTTTTTTTTTGAAAACTTGTTTTTATTAAACATTTATTTTTTAATATTTTTTTATGAATTATTTTTTTTTTAGAATAATCTTTTTTGGTAAAAAGATAATGGTCATTAGAAAAAATGTCATCAGTTTCTTATTTGCATATTTAAAGTTTTATGTATTTTAATTCATGCAAAAATAATGAAAATATATTGATACATAACTATCTATAAAAATATTTTTTGAATATATTTACTTAAAATTTATAATTAACGAAGATTTAAGTCTTTAATAAAGGATTTTTATGCGGATAAATAAAAGCTTCTTATAAAAACTATATATTTTCAATAACCTAAATTAAAATTATAAAAAATTATAGTTTGTAGCATTGATATAATTTTTACTGTTAAATTAGTAGAAGCAACTGTATATGCTATTTATTGATTTGTACGTTTGTTACTCTAGAGAAGTAATTAAGAAACTTTCTAATAAATCCATAGGCAACGGAAGGAATATCGAAACAAACTCAAGCAAAATCTCATTTAATTAACAGTTATTTCTTATTAATTAAAGAAATATAAAGGCTGAATTTAAAATTTTTGGACGAAATAAGTAATTCAAGTAAATCTTGTGAATTATAGAATAAGTGTGATGTATTAAAGGTGAGTATGTTATTATATTATCAAAATTTAGTGAAACATCTTTTTAAAAGTATTTTAAATGTTTTCAAAAATTTTAAAATACATTATCACTGTTAAGATGATCTCAAATGGAAACAT